CACATTCTAGATTTTTATTAGTGTATGTGAAAATTATTTTCATGGTACATGGACATCATTTCAAATTTTCCAAGAGGTAATCTATTTAAATTTCATATACAACTTAATCAATGGACAAACTCCCAACAAAGAAAATTCTATTTTATGAGGAAACATGAACACCTAAGGTCTCAAACATCTTTAACCTTCATACTATGTCAGTTAATGATGCAAATATGCATTAAAACAAAATTTTCATATTTTTTGATATTTCTCGAAATATATGGGTTAACACCCCTAGAGAAAATCGAGTTTTTCCGATAAATGCTATATTAAGAAGCTTAAGCTCTTTATTTTTTATGAAAATTACCCAATCACAATCTAAATTTTTATTAGTGTATGTTAAAATTATTTTCATGGTATATGGACATCATTTCAAATTTTTCAACATGTAATTTATTTAAATTTCATATACCACTTAATCAGTGTACAAACCCCCTATAAAAGAAATTATATTTTCTGGAGAAACATGAACACGTAAGGTCTCAAACCTCTTTAACCTTCATACTATGTCAATAAATGATGCAAATATGCATTAAAACAAAATTTTCATATTTTTTATTATTTCTCGAAGTATGTGGGTTAACCCCTACAAAACATCGAGTTTTTCGAGAAATGTTATATTAAGAAGTTTAGGCTCTCTGTTTTTGATGAAAATTAACCAATCACATTCTAAATTTGTATTAGTGTATGTTCTAATTATTTTCATGGTACATGGACATAATTTCAAATTGTTCAACAGGTAATCAATTTAAATTTCATATACCACTTAATCAATGGACAAACTCCCAACAAAGAAAATTCTATTTTATGACGAAAGATGAACACCTAAGGTCTCAAACCTCTTTAACCTTCATACTATGTCAGTGAATGATGCAAATGTGAATTAAAACAAAATTTTCATATTTTTTTAATTTTTCTCGAAATATGTGGGTTAACCCCTACAGAAAATCGAGTTTTTCGATAAATGCTATATTAAGAAGGTTTGGCTCTTTATTTTTGATGAAAATTACCCAATCACATTCTAAATTTGTACTAGTGTATGTTAATATTATTTTCATGGTAGATGGACATCATTTCAAATTTTCCAGCAGATAATTTATTTATATTTCATATACCACTTAATCAGTGGACAAAGCACCTATAAAAGAAATTCTATTTTTTGGAGAAATAACACATAAGGTCTCAAGCCTCTTTAACATTCATACTATGTCAGTGAATGATGCAAATATACATTAAAACAAAATTTTCATATTTTCTATTTTTTTTTTTTTTTTTTTTGTCATCATTTTCATATTTTCTATTTTTTCTCGAAATATGTGGGTTAAACCCTACAGAAAATCAAGTTTTTCGATAAATGCTATATTAAGAAGTTTAGGCTCTTTATTTTTGATGAAAATTACCAAATCACATTCTAAATTTGTACTTGTGTATCTTAATATTATTTTCATGGTAGATGGACATCATTTCAAATTTTCCAGCAGATAATTTATTTATATTTCATATACCACTTAATAAGTGGACAAAGCACCTATAAAAGAAATTCTATTTTTTGGAAAAATATGAACACATAAGGTCTCAAACCTCTTTAACCTTCATACTATTTCAGTGAATGATGCAAATATGCATTAAAGAAAAAATTTCATATTTTCTAATTTTTCTCGAAATATGTGGGTTAACCCCTACAGAAAATCTAGTTTTTTCGATAAATGCTATATTAAAAATATTAGGCTCTTTATTGTTGATTAAAATTACCCAATCACATTCTAAATTTGTATTAGTGTATGTTAAAATTATTTTCATGGTACTTGGACATCATTTCAAATTTCCAACAGGTAATTTATTTAAATTTCATATACCACTTAATCAATGGACAAAGCCCCTATAAAAGAAATTATATTTTCTGGAGAAACATGAACATCTAAAGTCTCAAACCTCTTTAACCTTCATACTATGTCAGTGAATGATACAATATACATTAAAACAAATTTTCATATTTTTTATTTTTTCTCGAACTATGTGGGTTACCCCCCATAGAAAATCTATATTTTTCGATAAATGCTATATTAAGAAGTTTAGGCTCTTTATTGTTGATTAAAATTACCCAATTACATTCTAAATTTGTATTAATGCATGTTACAATTATTTTCATAATACATGGACATCATTTCAAATTTTCCAGCAGATAATTTATTTATATTTCATATACCACTTAATCAGTGGACAAAGCATCTATAAAAGAAATTCTATTTTTTGGAGAAATATGAACACATAAGGTCTCAAACCTCTTTAACCTTCATACTATTTCAGTGAATGATGCAAATATGCATTAAAGAAAAATTTTCATATTTTCTAATTTTTCTCGAAATATGTGGGTTAACCCCTACAGAAAATCTAGTTTTTTCGATAAATGCTATATTAAAAATATTAGGCTCTTTATTGTTGATTAAAATTACCCAATCACATTCTAAATTTGTATTAGTGTATGTTAAAATTATTTTCATGGTACTTGGACATCATTTCAAATTTTCCAACAGGTAATTTATTTAAATTTCATATACCACTTAATCAATGGACAAAGCCCCTATAAAAGAAATTATATTTTCTGGAGAAACATGAACATCTGAAGTCTCAAACCTCTTTAACCTTCATACTATGTCAGTGAATGATACAATATACATTAAAACAAATTTTCATATTTTTTAATTTTTCTCGAACTATGTGGGTTACCCCCTATAGAAAATCTATATTTTTCGATAAATGCTATATTAAGAAGTTTAGGCTCTTTATTGTTGATTAAAATTACCCAATCACATTCTAAATTTGTATTAATGTATGTTAAAATTATTTTTATGGTACATGGACATCATTTCAAATTTTCCAGCAGGTAATTTATTTATATTTCATATACCATTTAATCAGTGGACAAAGCACCTATAAAAGAAATTCTATTTTTTGGAGAAACATGAACACCTAAGGTCTCAAACCTCTTTAACATTCATATTATGTCAGTGAATGATGCAAATATGCATTAAAACAAAATTTTCATATTTTCTATTTTTTCTCGAAATATGTGGGTTAACCCCTACAAAAAATCAAGTTTTCGATAAATGCTATATTAAGAAGTTTAGGCTTCTTATTGTTGATGAAAATTACCCAATCACATTCTAAATTTGTGTTATCCAATTACCCAATTCTCATATTTTCTATTTTTTTCTTGAAATATGTGGGTTATCTACGAAAAAATCAAGTTTTTTTGATAAATGCTAAATTCAAAAGTTTAGGCTCTTTATCCTTGATAAAAAAATTACCACATCAAATTCTAATCCTCTTTGATACCAGTGCAACTAATAATTCTTTAATTTGTTTAGTTATTTCTCAATCTGTGTAAGATATTTATAAATACAAAATTATATAAACAATACTAATGTTTTTACAAATATTATTATTGTTATCAAATAAATATAAATTATGTTTACATATAAACTTTAATAATCATATAAAATATAAGTAAAAATAATAAAAATATAAGTAAAAATTATAAGTAAACTATTACTCCCTCTGTTTCAATATAAGTGTCACTCTACAGCTATGCACACGGATTAAGGAAACAATTAATTTTACATATTTTCTATATAAAAACACAATTACCCATACACCTAACCATATTTTAACCAATAGAAAAATAAATTACATAATAAAATTAATAAATTTTACATTGAAAACCGAAAACGACACTTATTTTGTAACACAAAAAATTCTCTACAACGACACTTAATATAAAACGGAGGGAGTATTGTTTAAATGTGAAATTTTGTATTAACAATTGATTTTAATAAATTATGATCGATTATGATCAAAATGTTGGTGATAATATTAACAAATATTGTTAAACTACTAATTTTATAAAAAACATCTTGAATAATTATTAATGTAATTAAATTAGTGAAAATATAATGTGATCTTTTATATTATATATAGTTGATGAGCTACGTATTAGTTTTGGGCCAAGGGTATACGTAGGCTGGTACTGCCGTTGTTTCCACGTATTATAGTCTTCGCTAACGAGTCCCTTCGGGGACATCCGATAAAAAAAAGTCTTCGCTAGCGATATTTGACTTTGACCGGAACTAAAATATAGTGGATAAATGTATTTATGTTTAGCCTCACGTGACATCGACCACGATTTTAAAAGTTTGTATTTTTATATTACTCATCCAGTTAGAGACGATTGTGAAGTTTCGAGTTTAACAAGTTATCGATTGGATTTGAAGTTTGTATGTAAAAGTTTATCCTGTAAGATAAGTGAATTTTAAAACTGATAAGTATGTAACGAACTATGAAATATAACTCAATACTTATATTACTATTCTAGTTTTGTCATGTCTCTCTAATACTATTAGTTTTATGTTTTTTTGTATATTCATGATGAGAGATTGTAGAGCATCTTTAATTTATTGGTATTTTATATGAGATAAGTGTGAAAACAAATGCAATAGTATATTATTAAGTTGTTAAGTATCTCAAGTGACAAATCCATTTTAAATTTCTCATTTGTGAAAGGTTCACATGATTCCCTTTAACATGATGGTTTATTCAACTTATATTTAAAGACCAAATCTTACGTTATTTTAAAATGGGTTACATTTGTTTAATTTTACAAGCTGGACTTTAATACCATATGGAAGAATAAGTAGATAGACACATATCGTTTTTATACTAGTGTTAATTATCTTTTCATATTTTGAAGTAAAAATAATTATAGTATATGTCTATGTCTATGAAAAAGAATTCATATTTTGTGTATATGTGTGAGTATACATTGTTTTGACGAAAAGAAAATGTAGAAATTTACGTTTGTGTCTGAAAATGCATGACCCAACATACTCTCGTATTCTTCTTAGCCTAACAATCACATAATAATATATATTTTAGAAGGATCTGAAAAGTCTTTATTATAGTGTGCTTATCTAAAGTTTTAATTAGGCTTACTTTTGTATTCAAGAATCAAGATACAATTTATCTAACACATATTTATTCAGTTATTCCTCTTTGATGGAACTCAGTCTTCTCGACATCAAGTAATCTCCACACCGTTGAGGCGAAACATCATCACCGGAGCTAAGAACCGTCACCGGTAAGCGACCTTCCATACATTCTTTAAGAATCAAGAAACCAATCTCACCACCGTCACCTTCGCCGGTAGACTGATCACCACGACGAGCCAAATACAAAAGCTCTTCCAGTTTATCCCTTCTCATCCTCACTTTTATCCTTAAAGGACCATTCTTCTCTCCGGCCTCCACGTTTCCTCTCCGTCCTCCGTCGCCGAGAACAGGGTGCACTGCGTTGCTTCTCCAGAGAATATTGCCCATCTTTTTAATCTTCCTTGTCTTTCAAAAATGCTTGTTATGAATTTGATACGTGTATGCCTTGTTTATATATATGTAGTACCGTCGGAGATGGTTATAATTTAACGCATTATATTTAATATCGGTGTGGACAATTGTTTTTGTTTTTTGGTAACCTGACAATTGTTTTTGTTCCTAAGATCGGTTCACATTCTATTTCATTTTTTCGGTTCTGTTAAAGTAGGGCCCAAACAATAACTGAAAATAAATAGAAAACTCGGTTTGGCTTGGTTGGATTTAAACGTGTTTGCTTCTAGCTAAATATGTGTATACAAATAAATAAACTTAACATTTTTTGTTGTCAGGCAATATAATATATTTCCAGTATTTTTTGGTTAAAAATACTAATTACTTAAGTTCACTTTATTCGTCTTGGATTATACGGTTTGAGCTTGGTTTGCTTAGCCCGACATAGTGTTCGGTTCAATATAAAATTCAGATTGAGTTTCGGTTTGGTTTGTTTACCGTACCGTGTGGGGAAGGAGTTGAGTAAGGATGTGAACTACGATGCATGGGGCATGCGAGTGTATTAGATGAAATGAAAGATGGCTATTGAAACTTCTCGAGACAGAGTTTAAGTGTTGTTGTGGTTCACGTATGTGCTTACGTGGATTTTAAGTAATTAAGCCCATAACATAACACAGGGTGTGTTTCACGCGTCAACTATCTTAAAGTACGGTCTTTATCTCCGGGATTTCTCACCTCTCATGTGATTAATTAAACAATGATCACCTATTTCTCGTTTAATTGAAAAAAATTATATTCAAGTATAATTTACGTAAACCTCCCCGTTTTTCTGCTTGGGCTTGATTTAATTTAAAATCTATGTATGTCGTATTCAGGAGTCAAGACCATGAATTCATAATGTATTTAATTTTAACTGGTTCAATATCAGGCCCATTATTTATGTTGGTAAGGCCGTACATATTTGGCAATGTTTTTTTTCTATTGGCGATGTTCAGCCCTATTGCTAAATGTGCGATGTTGATCCTACTATTTTTGTATACTAACATTGATCGAGTGGCTCTTGCTCTCACACATCTTCCAGTTCCAGTATGTAGATTCTTTCACATTCCTGAAAGTGAGTTGAAATGTTAATAAACACAAAAAACTTGTAAATATTGGCCATTAGCCGTTAGGACCCATAAAATTTAATAATGACCCGCCAAGAAATTGTTGGTACGTAATTGAGTGCACCGAAAGGTGGCACTATTTTATTCACTGGTCTTTCCACGACTTTGTTTTTCCTTTTCGTATCAAATATAAGAAGACAAAAATGTTTTGTTGTTGTAGGGTATGGATCGACATTAAAAATAATCGGCTAGAGCAAACACAATATGCAAAATATATGCACCTATTTTTTGTTTCGGCCATAAAAAGAGAGGTTGGTCCATAGTTAACACGTGAAGGTTCCATTATCAATACCATTTTCTGTTGATAAAAAAATACTATTTTCTATGGCTTCAGTTGAAAGTGAAATAGTTAAATCCCATTAGAGTTTTACTTGATTAAACACCTATAATTCCATAAAGATAAATAACTTTTTTCTGTCTGTGTCGGCCTTTCTTTTACTTTTTGACCCTCACGTGAAAATTATTAGCCCTTATCACTACATTAAGTGGATATACGTTTTTAAAGGGAAAATTGGTAATGAATCATAAAAAGAGAATTACTGGTAATTATTTGTCATCTTTATAGTTTGTTTATATAACTTTTTCTCTCGGTTTTGAAAATCTGGCCAGTGGCAGTGATTATACAAGTATACTATATGTATATAAATGGAATATTATTAACTCGCTTATGATGATTACAGGACAAAAAAATCACAATGTGATGATACTAAAAGTAGAGGATCTTCGTTTCTTTTTTACTAGGAAAAGTTGTGGACCATCCACAATTATTTTCTTTGACGTCGTAAAGTTGTTTTATACTTCACCTTCATAAAGATTCTCAAAGAAAACCTTCATCATAAACCCTCCTCCGTCTAAAGTATTCTTCCTCAGCTTCCATACATTAAATGTAAACACAATTATAATTAGTTATCATTCTAGTTTGTGTCACAAAATGGGTAACTGCGTATGCAAAGGAAGTGGTGGCTCACGAAAACTATACGATAAAGATGATTTATTAATAAGAGTTGTGACACCAAACGGCGGCGTCATGGAGCTTCACCCTCCAATCTTCGCCGACTTCATTACCAACGAATTTCCCGGCCACGTCATCCACGACACCTTAAGCATCCGCCACTCCTCTCCGCCGCTTCTACAAGGAGAAGAGCTCTTTCCCGGTAACATATACTACCTCCTCCCTTTTGCTTCCACCACAGCCTCAACAGCTCAACAACATTACACCGACCAGTTAGCAACGCCGTACCGAATGTCTTTCGGGAAAACGCCGGTGAAGGCGGCTGCAAATGGCGGCGGAGGAGGAGGTGGTGGTGGAGGGGTGTGGAAAGTGAGGCTTGTGATAAGTCCTGAACAGTTGGCGGAAATTCTTGCGGAGGATGTGGAAACAGAAGCGTTTGTGGAAAGTGTGAGGACGGTGGCAAAGTGCGGCGGTTACGGCGGCGGAGCTAACTGGAGAGTGAATTCAGACCAGTTAAGCGTTGCGAGTAGTTTCAAAGACCAGTCAAGGTAAACTTTGAACATGTGTAAACTAAAGTTTATGTGATTGTTGTATGCTAAATATCATTTAGTTTCTTTCACGGTTTTAGCATTTAAATGATGTTGGTTTTTTTCGTACTTTGTGGAGCGATTACAAGTTTTATCAACTTCGAACTATATATGATACATATACGGCATCTCACATGCATGAAACAATTGATTTTATGAAAAAATGTTTAAATTATTAATTTTCCTTATCAAATGTTAAAAGAGCAAGAGAAAAGAAAAGAGAGAGAGAGAGAGAGAAATGATGTCTACTTGGGTATACTTAAGAACTTAGTTTGGGCCGGTATTGGGTCTGTAAAACTATATTGGAATGGATAATATTAATTATATGGTGCAAAGTGTTTGACTTCAGGCCCAAGGACCCAAATCTAGTTTTGAAACAATTTAGGATTAGGGTTAAAGTATAAATCCTGCATAAATACTCCCTCTATAATAAATATCACTAGATCTCGACCCGCACAACCGTGCGGGTATTTTAATACGAAAATATTTGAAATTATATAATACTCACTCCGTTTTAAATAGATGATGTTTTAAAAGATTTATTTATTTCAAACTATAAGATGTTTTGAGATTTTAAGGTATATTTTGAGATTTGAAGTTATCTTTAACTTTATTGGAAACTGTTCAACCGATAAAATTTTACTCTTTTTAATAATTGGTGAATGATTATAAAATTTTATAAAAAAATGTAAATTTCTTAATCTTTGTGCAATGATCCAAAACATCATATATTAAAAACGGACTGGAGTAAATTTTATCAATAAATAAATATAATTTGATTGTATATACTATCCAATTTTATAATAATATATATGTGGCTTGTAATATTATTAATTTAAAATTTATAAATTTGTATTTTTGTAACAATTTTTAAAAACATTATTATGTAACATTACAAATTTCTATATTTTGTTTTATTTCTAAATTTTAAATATATAATAAAGTAAATTAAATTGGACCTACATAATACATAAACAAAATTTTGGGATATTTTTAAACTATATTACATAATTTTAAATTTTTGTTTATAAATAAAAATGAATTAAAATTTTAATTATATTCTATGATAATTAATTTTTTAATCAAATAATTTTTAAAACTACATCTTGAAAAGATTCTATAAGATTTTTAAAAGATTTTGTTAGAATTTTCTTAAAATTATTTTTATGTATTTCAAATAAAAATTAAAGATATGAAAATATATATTATATAGATGTTATGTAAAATTTTATAAAATTTTTAAGGATGGTCCAAACTAAAAAATCACACATGAAGTGAGTCATGACTTCTCTTTTAATATAATAGATTCTACATCTTTTTCTTGTTTCAAAATAAGTATCACTTTATATTTTCAATACAATTTTTTTACACATAATATCTTTCGTACTCTCTTAGTTAACCAATAACTATTTTCAAAAAAATATTTTTATGTAAATAATTATACATTAAATAAAGACATACTAGTATACTTATTCATTTTATTAATCTGCGAGAAATATATCAAAGTGACACTTATATTAAAACGGAAGGAATAACACGCACAAAAACAACTGCTTCCAAGACTTGACCAATTGATGACCATTAGCATAACCATTATGTTCGTTATTATTAATACCCTTCAAATTTTTTTTGTTTAACGTTCTCATATAAAAATTTTAGTAGAACATTTACTTTTATAAAATTGAGATAAATATTGAGTTAATTTATTCTATTTAATAATATCATAAAATTATATCAAGAACTAAAAACAAAATTTATATTTTAAAAATAATTTTAGAATTAAAACATTTATAAAACTAATAATATTTAACATTTAAAATATAATTGGATTTTTAAAAATAAAATTATATAAACTAAATTATATTTTAAATATTAAAACTAAAAATTTTAATTATATTTTTAAATACAAAAATTATTTTTGAATATAAACGTAAATGTTGATATTATTAAATAAAACAGATATTTTCTTAATCTATATATTAATATATACTTTAGAAATATATTCAATATATCTATATATATTATTTAATTTAAATATATTATATATTAATTACTATAATAATTTTAAATAGCATGTTGCTACTGTTTTATCAGTCTTGTTGTTATGGGTTTAACACTAGTCTTGTTGTTATGGGTTTAACACTAGTCTGCAATACTCAATTCATACCAGTAGTATGCTTGCTAACTTGTCTTTCTGCAGCATATTCACCTAAACATAATGTTCCTATAACATATTGTTATTGTTTTATTATTAGTTTTACCAATCAATGTCATGTAGTTAGCTCAAATTTGGATTTTAAAGTTTGACACAATCCTTTTCTTTAAATTTAGATATATGGATCCTAATTGATGCCTCTACAGTATCGAAAAATCAGCGATTAAACAGGAAATCTTTTGTCATTGTAAAGTTTACTTCTAATCACTCTTAATTAATGCCTGTTATTAAAGTAGAAGTAGAATACGATTAGTAGTACTAAAGATGGTCCTTTTAATTTTTTAATAAGCTAATTTTATTTATACTTATCAGTTATCATGAAATATGTTGATATCTCGCATTCCTTTGTGTGTACGTACGTATCTCTTAACCATATACTATGGTAACTTAATCTATTTGAAGCAAGTGAAATATAAAGAATTCATATGTATATATATAAACATATTTCTACAACTAACTTGATTCCGTCACTGCCTGCCTATGCAACTAGCCAACTATGCATAT